AGAGAAGAGAGAATACCACTCACAAGAATCTATCCATCGTCAAAATGTTGTTTTCATCACGCTTTACGGTGTTTCAGCCGCCGTAACATATGTATTTATTTACAAAAAAACAACAACCGATATGCAAGTTCAGTGTCATCGTGGGATTGGAGTCATTCGCCCACGCGGTTACGGGAAGAGGCAGAAAAGGCAAGGAAATGTTTTGGTAAGAGAGGCAAACCACGGTGATCGCACAGAGGTTCTGTTTGTATGGATGCGTCGATCTATAACAAAAAGCGAAACCGGGTTCAGAGTGGCATTTAGAAACGAATGGATACCAGTGGTTGTTTGGATGCGGACAGAGACGTAAGGGACATGAAACCAAGCGATAAAGTTCACGGGATCTGGTGGAATAGATGGGTGGCGCTGTGAAGTCAACCATCATGGCACAAGAGAGTAAATGCGACTACGTCAAACGGCATGGACGTGTTTGACAGAAACGGTGAGACGAAAAGAAGCTGTGAGCACATAGTGGTTGGCGGTGCATTGTGAGCAACCGGTGAAAAAAGAGAGTTATAAAGAGAACAAATCAGACAAACTTTCGGTGTGGTCATGATGAATAGAGATTGAGGCGCACCTAGGTCACACAATCGGAGTGCCACGAAGAGTAAGAAGAACATTTAGTCAATGAGATGCGAAATGAATGATAAATATAGTTTGAACTTTGAAGCGATGAGAGCCATTAGCAAAACTAAGAAAGTGGGCAAAATGATTGACACGAGAGGTGGGTAAAACGAAGTGCTAAAAAGACAAATAGCATACCGCGGATCTAAGAACGCATACGTGTGGAGCGAAGAAGGCCGAACCGGTATGTTTGGATGGGTATTAATCGCGATCGCTGGCGGAGATGTGACTTAAACGTCTCATTTTGTTGTTCTTTCGCATAAAAATGTTTAATAATAAACAATAGATGGGAAATCGGGACAACAAAGCCGCAGGTTTCAACGAAGAGGGACTGGATGACTGGAAGTTGAGGCGGGCGAACGGACGAGGAGTACGGATGGGTGTGCAAAACAGTGCACAATAGAAACACAGATGATACCTATGAGGGTGATGATGATGATGATGTGAAGGCATTGCGTGCAGAAGCGAGTAGCAAAAAACCTAAAAAAATAATATCATGGTAATCCAAGGCGAAGTAGGAGGGGACCAGGGCGTTTTTGGGCCGCCCTATTTGATTCCCAGTTCTTGAACGGGAACGACTGCAACAATAAGAACAAAACATGAATACAATTAAATGTAGACAAAGTAAGAAGCGGTTGCATAAACCAAGGGGCCGGAACAGGCGTATAAAAAACCGGTAAAAAACAAAAACAAAAAGAACGGAGAACAAACGTAGCTCGTTTAGTGGAGGAAAATGAAAAGACGAGCCAAGGAATTAGTTGAGACATAGTGAGTTGGATGTGTACGGGACGAGGGACGATTCATTGCAAATTCGGTAGAAAAGCGTGTGGCAAAAAGAACCATGAACTTAGGTCGCGTGATGTATGAGTGGATGGGGTTTGGGAGAGTACGACAGCGGAGGCAAATAGGCATCGTTCGGCGCATGTGATAGGAATAGAACAACGGTGAGCAATCACGTGTGGAAAATCCGAGCTTCCGTCAAAGCTGGTAGACTGTAAAAGATAAAAAAACCGTAAAACAGAACAATATTGACCAGAAGGGCATAGACCATACAGCGAAAGTGAAAACGGTGATGGTAGGAGGTGAAGACAATGATAATGATGAGAAGGATATGGAAGCATTACCGTGGATGCATTAGACATAAAGAGAGAAAGATGTGACCAAATCGCGCAAACGTGCGCACATCTGTAGTGATCATGATAAAGAAGCTTGACAACTGACGAATGAGGAAAATACACGTGTGATAAGAGAAGAAAAGGAAGGGGATTAACGGTTTCAATTTGAAGTATGTTCAAGGAAAAGGCTTAATGCTGACACGTTTAGGGATCTGCGTGACGTTAGGCTGTGTTAAACCAGATGGTTGCTGTTCTGACGCCGCAGTGGTATTATGTTGCTGTAACTGTGTCTGCTGCTGGTGCAATAAAACCGGATACTGGTACAATTCGGCTTTTAAACTGGAGTAAGAATTGGCGAGAATCTCCATATGTTTACGTAATCGTTCGCCCTCAGAACGATATCGAGCCAGTAGATCTTCCAAGCAACGCACGTGTGCATCACGTTCGGCAACCTGGTTCTCTAGGGCCCGAATTAGAGTGATTTTTCTTTCACGACAGCGCCGAGCGGCTACTCGGTTTCGCGCACGTTTCCTTTCTAGTTTCAAATGATGTTGATCCAAATCATCCACTGACGATGGTGGTGTTTGACCGGAGGCGTTTGTAACAGCACAACCAATTTGGCCTTGTGTTCCGCCACCTGTGTCCGCACTGATGGAATACGAGTGTGTACTGCCATCGTCCATGATGTCAGTCCCGTGCACCGGGGCCTCCTGTTTTACCAATACAGTACGATCGGTAAAACAGGAG